TCACCTATTCTTGTTTTCGTACCTTTGACACTAAATTATAATAAGCTTGCCTTTTCAATTTTTTTTTATTTTTATAAAATCCAACGTTAACAACTCTCCACCTCTCTTTAAATATAACAAATATACTTTATAATGGTGTCTTCAATACAAGGGAAATGTAAACAAAGGGATTTAGAAATAGAATATGATTGTCTGTATGTGGATGACCCATAGCTTCTTACTATTTTGTGACTAAGTTCATCTTTCCCCTCCTCGTCAGTCTACTGAATTTCCGTGGATAGCCTTGTCTATTTCTAGGTCATTCCTACTTACTCCTGTGATAAAAAGCTCCACTTTTATTAGGCAACTAATTTCTCCCTTGTATCTCTCTAAAGCATACTTTCATGTATAAAACACCGATTAGTATTCTTTGAGTAAACTAGAGTTCATAACCTTGGCAATGCCACTGAGTTTCCCATTCATAAACATTGTATTATGCACTTAGAGTTCAGTGAAGTTTAAGCATTTTTCCCCATAAAAATAATAGATTTATTTCCAGACTTACACATTTTTTGGAATTGACTTTTTTTGTTTGCTTTCTCTGCCTGCAGTGAATTTCTTTTAGTTTGTCTATGATAAGTGGGAAACTCTGAGCTCTCTCTGTAGCTTCTTTCTGAATTCTTTGGATTCCTTTACTCACGTTATCTGCCGGTCCAGTAGTAGAACACAGTGCAGTAGCTATATGCTTTCATCCTGCTTAGGGGAGTCATTCTAACATTCCCATTTGAATATGACCTTTTTCCTTTCCAGAATTTTCGAAGCACTTACCAGACTGAAGGAATTTCAAACTTTGTGCCCACATACTGATGTTGAATATTGATTGATTTTAGTGGGTGGCAGTTGCAAAATATCAGACACACATACTCTCTCTGACCTCGGTTACTACTTAAAAGCAAATCTAAAGTTTCCCGTGAGACAGATTCTTCCCTATACTAAGAGGAGAATCATGCTTTTATTACTGGACATTAGAAGCTGCTGCTGATATGAATGTGTATAGAAAAACATATTAAAACAGCATTTATCTTTCATCAGTTTTAAACACACATTTTCTTATTCTACAATTTATCGCCCTTAGAAGCTTGAATTAATTTTCCTTTCTCTTACCACTTCGCTACAAATGTATCATCACATTTATATTAATAAAAAATCAGAGAGTGTATATGCTTTTGATCTTAACTGCTGCTTTCTAAGCAGGATTCCATGTTCATAGAATGCTGTTAAATAAAATGTGTGTGCTTTTCTTCGTTAAGCTATCAGTGTGTAATTTAATTCTCCAGCCTAGGCCTAGCCAGATAACCTAAGAGGGACAAAAAATAAATAAATAAATAAATAAATAAATAAATAAATAAATAAATTTTTCAGCCTTATAGTTTCAATTGCAAAGACATTTCATTTAATTAGTGATTTTTCTGACATTTTAGCATTTCCTATGAGTGGTACTGAGCACTTGCTGGAGGAAAAAAGGTATTTTAGTTTAGTTGGTCACTGTTGCTATAACAGAGCATCTGAGATTCAGAAACTTAGAAAGATTGATTGTGGAGTATGGGACGTCCAAGAGGATGGTATACCTGTTTAAGCAGCTTCTTGTTATGGTCTCTGGTTTTGCCAACTCATGGCAGAAGGCAGAAGTCAAGCAAAGAATGTGCAAGCAGAGAGAATGGAACAAATTCCCACTATAGCTAATCTACACCTCTGTTAAAACCATCACTACAGTCAGGAGAGCTCTCTCTTCAGGACCCAAAACCCTCCCACTAGGCAGGCTTAACAAAAAAAGAGTTTGTTTTTTAAGCCTGCCCAATCTTGCAGGACTTATTCCCTGTATTGGGAGGCTCCCTCCATCTTTCAACGTCTCTCTTTTGCTATCAGCTTTGCTAAGCACCTTTCAGGGAAATCCATTTAGCTTAAACCAGCTTTGGCTAGGATTCTGTTGAGTTTTCCGAGATTAGCTTGCATACGGACATAGAAAGGCTTTTTCAAAGTCTTACAAACTACTTCCAATCATTTCGTAGATGGTGTGTAAGAAATGAAATGATCTGAAGCCTGACCACAAACCGTGGTCAAGAGGACTGTGAGGATAAGTCTTTACAGGACGTATGTACTTACTGCCACACTTCCAATCTGTTTCAGCTCTATCTAACGCCTTAGTCAAAGGGTTAGTCTTGCAGAAAAAAAGCTATTAAAAATACAGTATGGAGTTTCCATGAGGCTGCAATAACTCAAAGAGGATATGAGTGGATATTCTCATGAAGGGAACTACTTCTATCAAGAAAAGGACTGTTGGTTGTTGGCAGCTCTTATAGATAAATAAGGACATGTGAAAACATCTGGGGTTATTAAAGTTGAATGATATTTCTGTGTTCTTTCCTATTTCCCCCCTGTGGACAACCATAATGTGGTGAAGAATTGAATTTTCTCTCTTTTTATTGTCTATGTTCCAGAATTAGTGGGAATAGTTTATACTTTAGTCCTTCCTTCCTCCCTCCATCCCTCCCTCCCTCCCTCCCTCCCTCCCTCCCTCCCTTCCTTCCTTCCTTCCTTCTATTCTTCCTTTAGTCCTTCCTTCCCTCCCTCCTTTTCTCTTTCCTATTCTCTTCTTTGTTTCTTTCTTTTTATTTTTATCTCTCTGCACATTTTCAATGGAAAACAAATTCTTTACTTGCTTGCAAACCAGGCCAAGTCAAGGAAGGAAATGGCTGTATTCTGGAAAAAGTATTAATTTTCCCCCAAGTCAAAATATATACATTATAGAAAGTCATCCAGAAAGCAGAATTTGACTATTTCCTACTATGCTGTGTAACCTTCCCAGAGTGTCAGAACACCTTAATGTAGGCAGCATGGTCAAAGTGAACACCCACCCCTACTATCCCAGAGCCTTTCAAGGATCATTTAAAAACCCAGGAAATGCTTGTTGTTTGTATGAATGTTTGTGGCTCTGATTCTATTTCTAAAAGGCTTCATCTTTATCTTGTAAAGCTCCAAACTTACATATGTATGTGGTCATTGGATATGGTCATGTCTGGAGTAATCACTGTTGTAGGATAGCAAAGAAAAATAAAAACTAATTTGAGGGGGGGGTAGAAGCAAACTCAGTTTCTCCATTTGTCTTTACTAATAGCCACTAGCTCATGACTTATAAGCCAATGTTATTTAAAAAGCAATTCCTAGGTTATGGATGCAACTCAGTGGGTAAACATCGTGCTATAGGTGTGTAGACGTAAGTTCAGTTCCCCAGAACCTATATAAAGATGAGGACTATAGTGTGGGTTTATAGTCCTACAGAAGTATAAAAGGCAGAGATGGGAGAGTCCCCTTAGATCAGTGTTTCTCACAATGCTACGAACCTTTAATACTTTTCCTCATGTTGTAGTGACCTCAACCATGTAATTGTTTTCATTGCTACTTCACATCTGTAATTCTGCTATTGGTATGAATCATAATGTAAGTATATATGCAAGGTATCTGATATGTGGCTCCCCACCCAAAAGGGGTCTCATGACCCACAGGGTTGAGAACTGCTGCTTTAGAAGTTTACAGAAAATCTGTCTGTCTCAAAGTAATAGTTGAGGGCTGACACAGAAGGTTGTCCTCTAACCTCCACGTGTGAACTATTGCATGTGCATACCCCCACTCACATATGAACATGCACACACATTCATGGCACACACATTTATTACACACACACTCACACACGGGGGGGGGGTGATTCAAAAGAAATGCAATTATCCAATTACCCTCGGACTTCTCCCCTTCAACTTATTTTCTACATAAATCAGTAGTTTTATGTGTGTCTTTTATTTGATGAATAGGACTGTTTTTCATTTGACTATCTTTATTAGAATTAGAAACAAGGCTGATTAGAAAGATACGCTCTTCATTTTATCACAAGTTTTACATGTGTTTCAGATTTTAGTTATGTAAAAATATGATTCTCCTACATTTTTAAGGGTGTGATACAAGATGTTGATGATCCCTTGACAGGCACAGAGTTAATCCAACAAATGTTAGACCCCTTGCTTCTGAGTTATCTTAAGCAGTAGCTGGGCAACTACTCTTCACTTCTTACTTTTGACTGATAAGAAGATTGCCTGATGCAGTACTTTTCTTGAACTGTAAGGATAAGCCACATCCCTGGTCAGTTATGTCTCCACGTGTTTTCTAAGTCAATATCTGCAGATGTAATAGCAGAAATGTTCTTATCTAATGTAAGTGCTGCAATGCAGAACTTCCTTTCCAGATATTATATTTTGTCGTATTTCATTAGTAACCAAGAATTTACATCTGCATAGGCTTGGAACAGATTGAGGCCGATATGTGTGTAGTCTAAATCCTTTCCCAAGCTGCCTTCATCCAAGCAACCAGTTTCCTAATATTGGAGTGAGATAGGATCCTTGTAAGACTTCAAGTATTATTTAGAATATAGTAGTAAGTCTAGCACTACCTAATAAGCAATTAAGTTAAGAAATAGACTATTAGTCTTGTGGGTGGAATTTCTGAGGTAACATGAACCTAAGGACAGCTAGTTTCACCACAATTAGGATAACTTCCCATTTTGAGAAAAAAAAAAAGAAGAAGAAGAAGAAGAAGAATCACTGGGCAAGCATAGCCTCCAACACTCTGTTCCGGCTTCGTTTCAGTCCTTTGAATTGCTACCTAGATGACCAGATGTCTGTTCATTCAGCAGCCTTGAGCAGAATACCAGATCCTGTGCTCCTCTTGGCTGTACCGAGCACGCAGGGCTCAATAGCTGGGGACCCTGCGCCTTTAAGGCGCGCGGGAGTCGCCAAAGGGGCGGGGGAAGAGACACCACTACCACAGGGCGGAGCTACCTCCTATGCCAGAGACCCGCAGGGCGTGGCGTCACGTCGGAATCCAGCTTTGGTTGGCGAGAATTTAGAGAGTTGAGAGCGAAGGAGGCGGGGTCTGGTTACCGTGGTGACCGGCTGCCCTGCGGTCGCCCGGTAACGGTGGCGAGTGTGTGGTCTGCCCGGTACCAACGGCGGAGGGAGGCTGCAGAGGTTCTGGCCGGAGCCCAGCCGGGCGCCGGGGGTCTGAGCAGCAATGACTGCCGCGGCTGCGGTGATCCCTCCGTCGGGCTTGGACGATGGGGTGTCTCGGGCTCGCGGGGAAGGCGCAGGGGAGGCTGTGGTGGAGCGCGGGCCGGGAGCGGCCTACCACATGTTCGTGGTGATGGAAGACTTAGTGGAGAAGCTGAAGCTGCTCCGCTACGAGGAGGAGCTACTCCGAAAGAGCAATCTGAAGCCCCCGTCCAGGTGCGTGCCTTGCCCCCAGTGCCGGGTGCTGGCTGGGCCCCAGGGGGACGCTCCCTCTAGGTGAGGCAAAGACCCCGCGCGCGGGGATCCGCACATCCATCCCTTCCTCTGTCTTCTTTGCTCAAGAAGGGAACTTCTGCACTGAGGAAGGTAGAATTTTCAGACTTGATCATTTTGTGAAGAAAGTAAACAAGTTTTGAAATGATAGGGAGAAGATAGCCTGTCCATCTTTAAAGCAGACACTCACCGTCTACCAAACCCAAATCTTGTTTTAAATGTAATAAAATACCCAACCTAGAAAGGGTAGAAAAACCGATCTCTAAAGACGAGTAACCTTATCGTTTAGATCTCTTTCTAGTTTCTGTTTTCCCTTGTTAGACTTTGTAACTAACAACTGTGAATCCTTAGGACCTTGCTAGGAGCACTTTTTATGTAGAAAATTAACTTGTTGGCTAATTACTATAGTTCAAACGACTTAATGCTTTTGCAGCAATAATCTTAGAAACTGGAAAGTGGAGTAGGCAAATGAAGTAAGCGTTGGAATGGCCCTCATTATAGGACCTAAAGTTTCGTGCTTGCCGTGGTGGGAAAAGTTTGGAATATCCCTTTAGTTGCCAAAAGTGATAGACGAAACTCCTTCTTGTAATCATGGTGGCTTAGTGATAACTGTTTTATTGCTTTTCCTTCAATTTAAAGCTTGTATTTATTCTGTAAGAAGAAATTAAAAAGAATTATCTATTGGACTTTTTTTTTTTTTTTTACCATCTATGGGTAGGTTCATATAATTTCTCTTGGCAGTTTTGAGCTCTTAACCCTCTTCTAGACAGGTCTGGAAGGATTCTTAGGCTTGTATAAAAACTATCCACAATGCCAAGTTAGTCTGTAAAATGAGAAAAATTAGAGAAGAAAGATCTTCTTGTTGATGAAAATGTCTTTCAAATGTATTTGTCAAACAAAGGGAAAATGACCTTATACTCCTATTAATACTTTGCTGTACTGAAACTTAAAGCTTGAGTAACATCCTTGTACCATGGATTTGTGTGGAGATATTCTAGCCAGTAGTTCAAGGTGTAACCATCAGACCAGCAAGTCAGCATCGCCTGGGAATATAGGAAGAAGTTTCTAAGACTCTTGTCCAGGTCTGCCTTTTCAGAAGTTCTGGTGGCAAACTGTCTCTTTTTTCAACCCCTGTGGGTGATTCTGATGTACTTTCATGCTTGACAGTCACCACCACAGGCCTACAGTATCTGTCAGAGTCCCTTCCTCTGTCCTTGAGGAGTGACAATTGATAAGGAATAAACAGTTATTGGTGGGTAATTCCTTGTAAGCCTATACCTGAACATATATACTTTCTGGATGGGAGAAGTTTAGAAAATAGAAGTATAGACCACTGATTCTTATGTCAGTTTTATATACATACATACATATATGTATATATATTTAAAAACATTTTATATTATATATATATATATATATATATATAATAGCCTCATAAAGAAAGCAAAGCAGATCTCTGAATTCAACTTTTTGAATAATACTAGAGACCTTTTATGTCCTCCATAGCTCTTTATAAATCATAACCCTTATGGGAATGTATTTAGCACAGTAATGGAACTAGAAAAATTCCTCAGTGGTGATGCAGGAGGACCTGACAGAGGTTCTTGGTCCTTTCTGCAACCCTGGACCATCTAAGTTGGGAACCTCTGAAATGTACCTGTATTGGGTTCCATTTCCAGAAGTTAAGGTTATGCAGGACTGAAGGAAGCTCCTGGCAGCACTTTAATGAGTTGATTTGAATATGAAGCTAAGATGAAAACACCTGCTTGACATAGCTTGATAGGCTACAAACAGTAAAAACATGATAAGTTCCTAGTCTCCTAAATTCCAAGATTCTCATGATCTACAATTGCCACTTGTAGGGGAACTTACTGGTAATCAGTTCATTGATTTTGACCAAAGCTTCATGTCATCATTCTCAAAAATTACTACCTTTCATTCCCTGGTTGTGGGTTTTTTTGATCAAATATTTTGTGTACTGTAGGAATTGCCCCTTGATGCTGGTTCAAAACTTTGTGAGTGCCATGAATCACTAGATAGTTCAAGAGTATTGATGAAGGCTGCTTGAGGGGAAAGTTAGCAACTTAGGACTTGTTTGTGTGACTTACTCACTGTTGACTTGCTGTATCTCACGCATCCAATCCTCCCTTGCTTTGAAACAGACACTACTTTGCTCTGCCTACCAACCCCGGTGAGCAGTTCTACATGTTTTGCACTCTTGCTGCGTGGCTGATCAACAAAACTGGCCGTGCCTTTGAGCAGCCTCAAGAATACGACGATCCCAATGCAACTATATCTAATATACTTTCTGAGCTTCGCTCTTTTGTAAGTGAGATACTCTCTTCTCCAAGTTCTCAAACTGCGGATTTCAATAGTAACAATTCAGTAACAGGTGCTAGCCTTTTAGATGACTGTTTTGGAAGAGTAGACAGACAGACAAATAACTGACGGGTATTAGTAATTTTTGGATTTAAAGTTAAGACCTCCCCAGAATGGTTGATATTGTATGTAACATGAATTCCACGTCTAAAAATGTTACTATAGACTCTCTTTAGGCCAGATTAATAATAATTTTCTTAAGTTTTGTAAGTCTCAAAAGTAAATTCCTAGGTAGTTAGTTAGCTCTTCCCCTCAAGGGATGATTCAGAGTATAAAGCAAACAACGTACTTTGAAAGGATTTTGGTTTTGTTAGGATTTCTCACTTGTACTTTTGTTTCTGACTTTTCCTGGGGAAAGGCAATAAGACATTTTTAACATAGGTTGCTAAGTTTTAATAAGTGAATCACTGTATCCTTTTTAAAAAATACATTTTACCATGCCAGTAGTTTTGCTCATTATTTTTCACTGATGATTTGTTTCCCTGCTATGATGAAACTGCCCTTATTTATTTATATTTTTGAAATTATAGAAAGTTAGGTCTTTGGTCCTGTATGTAGGCTATAGTACATTCTTTGAAGCAAGACAGTCAGTTAAGATATTAAAAAAATAACAAAGGAAAGATTTGCTGGTTTCTAGATTGAAGATGGTTACAGAGATCACCCTTCCAGTCTGCCTCTGGGTTTTCCTCAGGTATGATGGGGAACACAGAGCAGCAGTGTTGAGCTTACATGTCCCAGTCTCCACGGTCAGCAGCCTACTTAGTTGTGGGAATCCTAGTTCTTGACCAAGCTGGGCCTGAGGTGGTCACAAGGGTGGGCTGCGGGTTCGTGGACCTGAGAGGTCTGGGAAGCATGTGCATGGGGATGTAAGTGCCTTTTAATTTGGTACTGTGAACATAAAACATCTGTATTTTCCTTTGTGTAAATGTATCAGTGAACTGAAAAGACTTAAGAAATGAATGACTACAGGGATTACCTTTGTCTTGTCATTTAAAAGTGAGAAAAATTATACGCATGCTCAGTAGTTCTTTGCTGAAATAGTCTTGACCTCTAGAATGTAACCAACAAATAATGTCTTTATCTTTTTCAGGGGAGGACTGCAGATTTCCCCCCTTCAAAATTAAAATCTGGTTATGGAGAACATGTATGCTATGTTCTGGACTGTTTAGCTGAAGAAGCATTAAAATATATTGGTTTCACTTGGAAAAGGTAACTGTTACCTCACAGACAATATTGATATTATGGACTTAATGGGTTTTGTTGTTTGGTTGGTTTTGTTTGTTTCTGACGTGCAGAACTGTTTAATTAAACTGACAAGAGCTGACTGTTCTAAACTGACAGTGACACTAAAGAATAAGTAAAGACAAGATCAGAATATTTTCCAAATCTATTCGGAAATGATGTCATCCATTCCAGTGCCTCTTCTGTTTGTAATTATTGTAATCCTTGCCAGTTTGGAAAAAACTTTCTAAGTTCTCTCTATCCTTGTATTTATTTATACCTACAACCATTGTGTGTGCATGTCGAGGTAACTGAAGGCTTCATATTTAAGTGGAAAGAAATTAATATAGTACTGTGTGTGGGACTTTCTTTTCCCCTTGCTCAGTGGCAAGAAGACACTTGACATTCTCTTGGATGGTGTCCATAGCTTTTCTCTAATCTGAAAGCACATTTTTTTTTATCATATTAAAATAATTTATTTACAGGTATAGCTTCGTTGCTGCAAATCTTGCCAATCACTCATCATATGTATCCTTTGGTAGTTAGCATTGTATTTAGTTCATCATATACATTCAGTAAATATTGATGAATAAATAAAATCAAAAACTTGGTTTTATATGATAAAAATATATACATTTTATCTTTTGAAAGATGATAGGTGAGATTTTATTTATTATTAGATATTATTTATTTGTAGCTTAGAATGTAGAACATGATACAAATAAAATAAGACTTAGCATTGGTTTTTATATTTGAACAAACTTCTGGAGCTAGAAAGAGGTATATATTATTCCTTGTTAATATATTAATACATACATAATTACATTTATGTAAAAATATACTTCCTTTTAGGAACTACTTCTAAAACTTCTGAAAATGTGAGTGTGTGTGTGTGCAGGTGTGTATATACAAGAAACATACAGACTGAACAAGACACTTGTGTGTATTCAGAAATAGTTATACACATATGTATGTAACAACAATGAAAGAAAAGGAGGCACTGAATTTGAAAGAGAACAAATAGTGGGTATATGGGAGGATTTGGAGGGAAGAAAGAGAGCTGAGGAGTGGTATAATCTCAAAACATTATTAAAACTGACATGACTTAAGCATATTCAATAATTGATACCCATTTACTCTCAAGGTAAAACATGGCAGTTTCCTTTGTTTCAACCCAAACATTTCCATTCAGTTCATTGTAAAGAATGACTCTGCAGTCCCTAACAGTGCTGGTTAGATTTCAAGAGAAGCTCAATTACATGATGTGCTGCCCTAGTTTGTTACTAAATCCATAGCCAGTGTATCATTGTTGCATTGCAAGCCATTACTGTTTCAACCACTATTGAATTTGTACTTCCTTTGTTTCTAGTAAAATCTTTGTCTTGGCCTATGTGTTTTGACTTGGGTAATTTGTGGGAACCATATATACATGAAGAAGAAAGGAAAACATTTGAAAAGTAATAAATGTTGGACACTCTATCACCTGTGTGTGTGTGTGTATACATATACATATATATATTACACAGAACTTTCTTATTTATAGAAGGTTATTTTTATTCCTAATTATGTCAAATGATTTTTAGAAGAACTTTGTTTTTGAGATAATTATCTAATTCTAACTCATGAAAATTGAGGAATTTATCAAGATTGATTTGGTTCATAATAGTTTTTCCTTCCTATTACATGTTAATCTGTATATTTTGTTAAGCTGTTTGAGATATATGTTTTTAGAATTAGTTGTCACAATAAATGCAATTATGTCTAGATATTTTTAATGTGGAAATAAGTAGATCTTAAGGGGGAAATGGTCCAACATTTTAGTGTTAGAACCACTAATTGGACTTTATAAATAAAAATCAAGCTTGCTATCTCTATAAAAATACACTGCATATTTGAGCGATGTGAATTGAAAATTAAAACTGTAGACATACTAAAAGGTCCAAGAGATGTAGGAAGGTGTGGCTCAAGGGGATGCTTTAAATATGTAATACTAAGTCAAAGGTCTTGACTGGAAAATGTTGCCAAAATCTATCCAGTAAGAATTATAACCGTCTTCACTATTTATGATTCTAAGTAGTGAAACTAGGGAACATGTTGGATTAGGTAAACATTAATTTTCTTAATTTATAAAAGTTAGAGTGTTAATGAGTGTTTCACTAAAAAAGTTATCAATTAAAATATATAAAGTTGCTCAATCACTTTTATGCTTAAGAAATTCAAAGAAACACAATGCTATTTTTCACTTGTTTTACTAGCACACATTATTTTATGCATATTGGTAAGAATATTGAAACAGAGATGCCATTCCTTAATATTTTTGGGAGTATAAATTAGAATAGCATTTTGGAAGCCAATTTTGGTAAAACAATACATCACATGTACAAAGTTGTCAATGTAGCCATTTCACATGGACAAATTTATTTTGAAAGGTCCACCTGATAATAAAGTTACAAATATGATCTTTACAGTATTATATAGCAAACAATAGAAATGCCCCTAGTGTTTTAGTCATAGGCTGCGAGTTTAATTGTAGATCTGCTGTTCAGTGGAATGTAATGCATGTGATATTATGTGTTTTGTGTATGTGTGAGTGAACATGTCAGATAACTGTATATTCAGTATCAACTTGTTTTTTAGTAAACGTGCTTTTTACATTTAGTGGTAGATGTCAATGCTTTTTTCACATTGCAGCTTGGGGGAAGAAACAATAGATTCACTGGAGGTTAACAAAGGGAACAGCCCACATGAAAGCATCTTTTCTATTGCTCACAAGACACTTTTTGTCTTAGTAAAAATTTCTAAGCAGTCAATAAATCTTGTTATTTCAGGCCATCATACCCAGTGGAAGAGCTAGAAGAAGAAACTGTTCCGGAAGATGATGCAGAGTTAACATTAAGTAAAGTGGATGAAGAGTTTGTGGTAAGTGTGTACCGAGCTGTCCCTACAGCCTTGCCTTTGGCTTGCTGTCCCTTGGCTAACTCTCCTACATTATTTTCCTGGAATGTGTTTTCTTTCTAAGTTCAGTGCCATCATCAGTCCTCAGGCCTTTGTTCACATTGATATTTATGGTCTTGAGTCAACTCTGGAAGAGGTTCTAAGTGTGTGTGTGTGTGTGTGTGTGTGTGTGTGTGTGTGTATCACCAGTTATATGAATAACGTTTACTAACTAACATGCTTAATCTTAAAAAGCTATAACTTGCAAAAAACTTAGAACAGAAAAATAACACTCAGTTCATGTTTGACTGAATGTGATGGTGCATACCTGTGATCTGAGATTTGGGAGTCAGAGTTGAGCTGAGTACTTTAGAAAGTGTCCACATAATCTGAACTGGACATGTGATGGGACAAAGAACTTATGTAGTATATTTTTGTCACAAACCAACTGAAAATTTCATGTTTTTTAAAATAAATCAGTAGGTAATCCACTCTTATTTCAGAATAAATAAGCTAGTATAAGCTATAAATTTGCTAGTTGCTGAATTATCTTAATATTACAAGTTAATAAGTAGCGATTAAATAAATTGGAATAATAATAATAATAATTGGAATCTTATATAGCTGATACAACTTATTTACAGACATGAGAATGACAATTTCTGCTTTGTTTTACAAAATTAACTGTCATCATGACGTCACTATGTAAAGTAAGTAATAGTATGAGTGAGTATATTAATACTTGTTATCGATAGAATAATTATGCTAGGCTCTGTTTAATATTTCTTAGTTTTTTAAAGCATTTTAATGTATATTTTATTAGAAGTATAAAGGATACCTTTAAGCATATTAAAATACATGATTCTGCAAGACTTTGCTAATTTTTTTAGCCCCAAGGCTGATTCTCACTATAGCCAGGCTAGCCTAGGACACTCACTATATAGCTGTTGTCAAGTCTGGCCTCTGGTTCTCAACCTAGACCGTAATAAAACCAGTCAGTTTAAGACAAATACTTTTTAATATGATAAAATTTGAAAGTCAAGGCAAAAAATAAAATGCAGTCATCAGTTCTTAATGCAGCTATTGAAACCCTGTTGTGTAGGAGGCAGTAGATAGCTCACGTTCTGAAACCTGGAAGCAAGAAGGTGCTGTGTTTAACACAGGAACTTTGAGAAAATCAGAGCATCTGGGATGGAGTGAGGTGTAGCTTCAGATAAACTGGAAAGATAATTTGGGTATTTAAAGAGGTTTAGACTTTATTCAATAGACTTTCCACTCAGGACCAGAAAAAAAGTATCCTCATATATTCTCGTCTACTTATTCATTTCCCCATTTACTTAGTTATCTCCATTGTCTTTTTGATAACTCATAGTGTATCAGTCTATACTTAGTCCTGGTATATCAACATTGAACTTCAAAATTATCACTCAAAAGTACTAATCAAAGGAAAGGAAAAAGACTATTCATCAGAAGGGGGAGAGCTAAGAGGTTGCTGACTCGCCTTGCTTTGTCATGGCTCCAGCTTACTGGGCTTCTTTTGCTATGTGTCAAGTTTTCAGTATTTGACAGAATCTCTTAGGGATATTGCATAACTTATCTATTTTTTTCCTTTGAGTCTTTTAAAGTTCAAAGCAGAATTGTTGCATTTATAAAATTAAGGAAACAAACTAGACAGTAGCCTCTTTATACTGTTCTTACAAATCAGGAAGTAAAGACCAAACCACAGGCCTCCCTCAGATCAGGTGCCTCTGGAGCCTGTTTGCTTTTGTTAAGCTGCTTGGCATGTCCCCTTTTTTCCTCCACCTCCTCATCCCAGGCTGAGATCCCCTCTCTTCCTTCCCCTGGCATTGTTGCTAAGGAACGCTGGGTTGGTGCCTACAAAGCCTGCAAGGAACCCACCGATCCTGTTTCAGCTGCTTGTGTGGGTCAAGGATGGGAAACAGCAAAAGATCAAAGAACAAACTTCTGCTTTTATAGAAACTAGGGACCTTCAGCTAGAAAGTGCCAAATCAAAACAAGTCACATTGGCAATTAGCTTTTAAAATTGACAATGATGCAGAGTATTCATGCTTATATGATCATATATTTAGTAACAAGCAGGAAGGGAATTAGTGCCAATTAAGCAGGGAGATGGTAGGAAATTGTGCTTTCTGAATTACGGAGATAAATCATTGAGAATCCTAACTTGTTTTAAGGCATTTTCTTCTAAGCTTATGCTTGAATTCCCTTTGAGTGTTCTAGTCATATTACTTAGTAAGCAAAGTTCTTTTTCTACCTGTTAGATTCTCTAAGAAGAAGGACCAGTAGGAGACACACACACACACACACACACACACACACACACACACACACACACACATACCTTTAGAAAGAAAGTTTCTGGTTTTGGTTTTGTTTCTTCCCTGGAGTGCTGGGGATTGGATTGAAACCCAGGCCTGACACCTACCTACCATGTGAGTATTCTATCCTCCCCTGAGCTGAGCTACAGTGCCTTTGTGACATGGGCTCTTTCCAAGTTATCCAGAGTTAAGCTGACCTTGAATACATGTAGCCTAGGCAGGCCTTAAACTTTTGATATTCCGCCTCAGCTTCCTGGTCTAACTAGAGTCACAAGTCTGTACAACAAGCTTGACTGTGAGAAAGTTTTTACATGGAACTGAGTCATGTGACTATGGGGGCTGAGAAGTCCCAAGGTCTGCTCCTAACAAGCTAGACCCCAGGATAACTGGTGGTATAGTTCCTGTATGAATTGGAAGACCTCACGGAGAGCAAGCTTCAAGTTTCTGTCTGAATTTTATACCACAGGCAAGACAAGACTGATGTTCTGGTTTCAAGGAAGGTACAAGCAGTAATCTGTTGGTGTGCCATCCTGTTCAGGCCTTTCAGGTGGAATGAGACATAACCACCTTGGAAAATATACTTTACTTAACTCTATTAATTCAAATATTTATTTCATTTAGAAATACTCGCACAGACACATGAATAATATTTAATATATTATTTTAGCATCCCATACTCAATCAAATTGATACATAGAATTAGCCATCATACCTCCATCCCTTGTCAGCTTGGCATCCTTTAAATCACGTTTAATCTCCAAATAAAGGCAATAACAAGATCATAATTCTGAGTAATTATATGACAAAGTATCTTATATTTATGAAAAATGTGATAAAAAAGAAAACAATACATTTGCAAACAAATATAGAAGATATATGTATAACAATATAATTCTTATTGCTACAAGAAGTTATGTAGTTAGAAACTGTTGTGGTAATTATTTAAAATCGGCCTCTTGTCATGCCGACTATCTAAGCTGCAGCGGCTCTGCCTAGCCCAGCCACCATGTTTCTCGGCCTGAGGCCACAGCCTACCAGAAACACCAGCCCTGCCACCCACTAGATGCCAGCGTGAGAGATGGCTCTGCCAATCTTCCATGCTGTCTCCGCAAGGCAGGGCATTGCCCAGACCATTCCGCCATCCATGCAGGCCCAGTAAGAGAATGAGACTCTTAATTCTTATAGATTAATCAAAGACTTTATATGTTTGATAATGATTAATAACAAGATGCCTATACAAAGACAGTTGTATCCCAATTAGCTAACCTAATTATAAGTTTATAAGTTGTTCCTCATGAGTGCTCTCCATACCTGTGTGGTTCTCCATCCTTCTACATCTCTGCCCTCTCTAGCTCCTCGTCTTCCTTTTTTCTCTTCCTCTCCCAACTCCTCCTCTTCCTCTCCTTACTCCTCCCACCTTAGCTCCTCCTACAAGAAACTACTATTTATAACTACCTTCATTCACCACACATGAATTTCCTTTGCCTTCAGTACCTCAGCTGACAGTGGTTTATTACCTGGTGAGTTAGCCACCCTTCATTCCTAAAGGGTCTTGGTCATCAGAAGTCTCATCTGCATTAGGTAATTGTGGTTTTCCATTGAGTGTAATCACAGAGTGTGGCAGTACTAAAGGATACACTGAAGGGTTGCCTGTTTTCCAGACCTCAGTCATGCTTCTGTTGTAGTGGTAGTGTAATTTCCCCTTGAGTCGGGACCAGTCATTCCAGCCAGCACAGTGACTCTTCTCTTGCCTATTGATTCAGAAGTGTGTAGAGCCCAAAGTATCCCAATAGTGTACGAACATGTAGCTCAGTAGAGCCATCATTATGTCTCCTAGTGGAAGTGTTCTTCCATTTGGAATGATGGCCTGCAGGCTAACAGAATAATAAAGTCACAGGAACCAGAAGCAAAGATTTTGCTTATGGGTAATTAGAAGTAGTGGTGCCACTAACGTCTGCAGCCCTTAATTCCTGAACCGGCGAATTCAAGCTATGAAAGAAACATTACTGTATACTGATGATGGCTCATGCTAGGGTCTACTATTAAAGTTCCGTCCTGTTAGTGTTCAATAAAGTACAAGTATTGGCTGATCGCCTGTGTAAACAGTACTGGTGAGGTCATGGTAAGTTTACTGTAACCTTGTTTCTTCAAACAGCAATGAGTCATTGGCGTTTTAATGAATTACTCTGGTTGTTACATAGTACAAGCACAGAATACATTCAAGCCACTTTTCAGAAGTTTATTGACTTAGTATATAAACAAGTCAGTGGTGTCTATTCCTCTGTGCCCCCATTATTCCCACCTTAAGAAAGACAAATGTTACCCAAGTGTATAGAGTGTATCTATACTGTCTTGTGTATTGGTGAATTCTTTCCATTTCTTCAAGGCTTAGGAGCATATTCTCAAGTCTTACCTTAGTGTAATAGATCTCAGATAGTACCTTAGAGTTTTCATTCCAACAAGTTCCTAGGTGATACTAATGTAACTGGTCTCAGCATCACATTTCGAGACCACTGGCCTACATTTCTCAAATCTGAAGGTAAGGGTTATCTGTGCAATCTCCCACTGCAACTTTGAACAGTCCACTCGTAGAACTGTTTGCTATCTGATATTCACTTTTTGCCTGGTTTGTTTGGGTTTCTGTTTACAAGATCATAGGACTCGAGGACCAAGTTTTGTTGACATTATTATGATGTCCAGTGTCCATACAATTGAGATATTCTTGTTAGATTACATTTACCTACTATGTCACCACAATGGCATTTGCTTTATATGATAAACAGACTCCCCTGCTTATTTTCTGTGTATAGAGCAGATTGAATCTCAAAGGATCACTTCATACCCATACCCCTGCAACCAACTGCACTCAGGTCAGAAGCAGTTTGGAAACCCTGTGGGCGGTTCTTCGAAATGGATGTGACGGCTGAACACTACACATTACTATCATTCATTGCCTTAACAAGCTTGAGCACCCAGTGTGCTTTGCACACACGGTGTGAAAAATGCATTTTCAGTGATAGATAAATGGCTCAGTGGCTAAAATCTTGCTGCTCTTCCCAAAGACCTGACACCCAACTTTCTGCCTCCCTGAGCCCTGGAACACATGTAGCATGCACAGGCACACAAACAGATACAAACACATAAGTAAACATTGTTTTAGGTGTATCTACATGCACTTGTCTCTGGAACAAATGAAGTGGCTTATGTCTTCAGCCTTCATTTTTTTTCATTTCAGTCTTGTTGCTCAGAATTTCATAAACTTGCACTATTTCACACAGGCCACTTGGGCCTATTTGTCTATTTTTATGTTCATCAATGAACTGTAGCAATTACTCCTTCCCCTCCCTCTTTTTCCCTCCTTTTTTCAGTGTCTGCAAAAACAGGTTTTTTAAATGGCTCCATCAAAACTTCAAAGAACATATGAGCTGTTAATAATTGTGTGCCCTACTTTATGCATATTTATTAGACTTTTAAATATGCTTTACTGAGTCAGTCATATTACGTTCAGCATAGCTTAGGATATTATGTATTTAGAAATCTATATTTAAATGATAGTTTTTTTAATTTGTAATATTTTTATTTTTCAAAGGAAGAGGAGACAGATAATGAAGAAAACTTTATTGATCTCAATGTTTTAAAGGCCCAGACCTATCGCTTGGTAAGTGTCATTGGCTAACCAATCAGTATATGTGTTCTGCTGGAAATCTGGCCATTTGCCAGACATTATTTTGTGTGCCTCCTGCAAATTAGTTATGAAAATTGTTTTCCTATATATAAAATGCTACAATTATAACAAACATAAAATCTAGAAGGGTGAGTGAGGCTGCCTCCTGCCTAGGGAACCCACACAGTGCCTCTAGGGCAAACTGAAAATGTATTTGCTGGATGCCATTTTTAATTATGGAAAGCTATAAATTGTTCTGTTTCAAGTTATTACCCATTAAAGTAGACCAGGAAAGGATGACTTTTGTTTGTAGGAAAATATTTAAGCTGTATTTCTATGAAATAAAATAAATTCTGTCCCCTTGCCAGGCATTGCTTTATGAAAGTTTCTCTCTGCTGTGATTACAGAATAAATCTAGTCTATAATAGTATGCGTACTGTCAATGAACTATTTTAAATGAACATTGTGGTGCTTTGCATTTTTATATGTATATCATATTTCAACAATGTATATGCCTATGCACTTTTGAAAAAGTATACCTGCAATATATTCTTATTGGTTCTCTCCTTTCATGTCTGAATCCTCACATCCTTACAAACACATCATTAAACAGTGGACTTAGTTTGGGTCTAGTTTTTGTTTCATTTGAAAATTTCCTTGAGCACCCCAAGATGATCTCTCTATATTATTTACTGCCTTTGTGTTGTTGATTTTCCAGTACTTATAGTCCCTGTGTGTGTGCTTGTGTGTGCATGTGGGTGTACATGCATGAGTATGCACATGTGTGTGTCCCAACTTAAGATGGAATGTAATATTGTGCCAAGTGTATGACTTAAGCTCTGTACTTTACTAAGATTCTAAACTTGGGCAAATTTCCTAGCTTGGGGGAAATTTAACCTGCTCATAAGAGTTCTATGATTAAAAGTTAGATGTAAAGCAGTATAAAATAGCATCTCTCATGTAGAAAATGTTTACTATAGGCTGGCTAAAAGCATCCATCATCCCCATGTTTCCTTTGGATTTCTGATTTGTAAGTTCCCCCATGACAGGGATAATTGCCTTTTTTTTTTACATTTCTCATAATATAAAACACAAAGTATTGAATAAATACTTCTTTAATAAATGAATATACTATAAATTTTATTTTTAATTTTTTTAAGTTAAAATATAATTATATTATTTACCTCCATTTACTTTTCTTCCTCCAACTCCTCCTGTGACCCTCCTCCGTAGCTCCCTCTAAAGTCTTTGGCCTCTTCTTTCTCTGTTATTGTTTTATACAGACACACACACACACACACACATACACACACTCTGGCGCTTAACTATAAATAGAACCAAGTCCATTAAGTGTTGCTTGTATATAAAATACTTTAAGAATAGCCATTTACTATTGCATAGCCAATAAGCAAGTTTCTCCTTGGAGAAAGACTTCTACTCTCAGCACCCTTAGTTCCCTGTAACTCTTTGTGTAGAAATGGAGGCGGATGAGATTTCTTCATCCACTTTAGCATATCTATGGGTGCTGTCCTTGTTTGGGTCTCAATTGTAGCCATACTGAAGTGTTATGGGTGATGCCTCCCTGTCATTTCTAGAAAACATTTCACAACAGCCTCCTGGTCCTCTGACTCTTCCAGTTTCTGTGCCTCCTGTTCTGCAGTGTTCCCTCTCCTTAGGTGCAGGAGTTAGGTTGCAGATGTATCCACAAGGCTGGTACTCTGACCAGTTGTTCTCTGCCCTTTGGTTGTGATTTTCTCCAATGGTCACTGTTATAAAGAAAAGCTTCTTTAGTGAGGGTTAGGAACTACAGTTTATCTGTGGGTATAAGGATAAGTACTTAAAATGCAGGTAGGATTTATGCTAGTTTAGTACTAAGTTCTCCTAAAATCAATGACTTCACTAGCCCCAGATAGTTTGCTAGCTTTCCAGTATTAGGCATGATTTCTTTCCTGTTGTTCAGACCTTAAATCCAACTAGAGAGCTGTTGGTTACTGCCAAGATAGGAGTGCCACTCTTACACTTTTAGGGACATCTTGCCATGTTGGTTATGGCTGTGGTTCACAGTCTTCACAGGTGGTTAGAACTATTGGTTTCTTTCCTCTCTTGGCAGTAAACAAACACTCATTGTCTCATATTCCGTCCTTACTTTCTCACCTTCGGTTTTGGCTTCCCTCCTCCTCCCTAATTAAAACCCCCAATTTCCCCATTTCCCTCTCAATAAGGGTATTTTTATTGATCAATTAAAATTCTATAAGATAATGTTATGTCCAAATAAATAAATTCCAGGTACTTGTTTATACCTTACATTTTAGATCATTTTTAGTATTCTAATTATTTAAGATACTTTCTACTCTTTTGAGGTATTTATGTAGTTATCTTATTTTCATAGATGTAGCCATTAACATTTATAACCTCAAGGTACTTAAATTTTAAAAGTTACAAATTCTACTGCCTAAGTTTAAAATGTGTCTTCAAAGTCCAGGTCTTTGCCCCTTCCATCTCATAATGGACTCAACAACGTTTAACCACAGTGTGAGACTTACGTGAGCAAGTACATTGTGGTATTGTGTTCAGTTGGTGTATATATTGGAGATGATGGGACACTTGATTATAAAAGAAAGAAAACAAAATAGAGATGAGTGCACGGTTATTCTTAGAAACTGATCTGCATTGTTTATATCTGTGGATGGGTAAATAGTCTGTGAAGGTGGACTTTCCCTTTGAACAGTTAGCTTGGATATTAAGAACAAAAGTATCTTAAATTTGCCTCTTCCACTAATTTAATTTGTCACTGAAATTAGTATGTATAAAGAAGGATTTTCCTTCTCCTATATGTGAGCTTATCAATTATTTAAATATTAGCTCACTTGGCAAAGATTGCGTAATATATATCCTTTGGAATTAAAACTAAGTGACATTTTCATGGGAAGAAGAAGAAGACTAAACACCAGGTGTTTGTGGATGGTCAACCATGAAGTACTAATGAGACAGAAAAACCCTTTCATATTTTGAGAAACCTGGCAGGCTTATCATATTGCCCACTAAAGCCATCTGCCTGGGACAGCTGTGACTGACTCCAGCCTCTAATGGCTCAGACTGTTCTTTCCCCAAGACAGAATTGCTGTGTAGGTGAGTAATACAGATTTAAGATCTTATGTTTAATGCAGCAGGTGGGCTCACAACACAGTAGAAATACCCTTTAAGTAAACTTGATGGTCTGCATAGCATCAAGAAAACCAGTCCACCAAAGGTGTATATGACTGCAAACCTAGGAAAGTGTGGGTGACAGCTAGCTGTCTTTACTTGTGACTTTAAAACAGTGGATGCTTCCCACATTATTCTGTATCTTCTCACACTGCCTTTTTCATAACAGACCCAGTGTCCTAGTTTAGTAATTACTGACCTGTTTATTGTCCATCTCATCTCCAGAATGCACAATCCTCTATAGCAGGAGCTCATTACTGCCTTTTTGAAAACCTGTGCCTGGTGTGTGGAAGCTACTCAACAATCAATAATACTATCAATGAACACGTGCTGAGTATATAATATATATGGAATTTTGTAGGCAAGGTGTAATTTGGTCTTCATAAAGATCTTTTCTATAGTAGTTGTTGCTTCTGTGTACTATGTATGAAACACAGGTGTGTGTGTGTGTGTGCGTGTGTGTGTGTGTGTTCCTTTCACTAAATAAAATGAAGCCTAGACCCTAAAGGTGCACTAAGTAGCACAGTTCAGGATTTGGAAGCCCGTCAGTGTTTTCCTGGCTTTTGGTAAGATGAAGCAAGTAGAAAGGCCAATGAGAAGGCATGTCAGGGGTCATGTTCTCAAGAAGTAGTCAATGTGGAAAGCAGGGAGATGCTCATTTGATTAGAACGATGGTGATGAAAGGAAGGGGCAGAGAACAGAATCTAGTTGTGATACATGATAGCCATCCTGAGGAGGAGCCTTGGAACAAGACTTCCACCTGGCTCAGTCACAGGAGGCAGGCTGCCCTGGAAGGGCTGGCTCCAGGGTGAGACAGCCTGGGATCCAGACAGCAGCAGGCCATCTGCTGCTTACATTCCCTGCAGCTTGGTAAACCCTTCCCTGAGAGTACCTGGTGACCCATCTTCTTTAATATCACAATATATGGAAGGCTGCACCTGCTAACTAGAAGAATATATATGGAATTACTATCCTCCCGTGGGCTTAACTTGTAAAGGACTGCCTAAGCAAATCACAGCACAGCAGGTATCTCTCAAGTACTGAAGGAAGCAAGGCTCTTCCTGTGGGTGGTTAATGCTGACAGTTGATTTGTCTGGGAGGAAGTGTGCTGTTCAGAGTACTCCTTTGCTCTGAGACTTAACACAGTGTCTTTAAGGCCGTTCTTACTGTCTTAGTTTGCCACATATCTCCCTTATCCTTGAGTATGAACTTGCCAAGCATACTTTTCAGGAAACAGCCACAATTAATGAGGCATATCTGGCTTTCCAAAATTTCATCTGTACATTAATTATCTGAATTTTGGGATACTTTTTCTTAGAAGGAGAACCTTATGAATGATATTTGACCTTAAGGCTGGACCACAGATTTTCATATTCTCTGATTTCAGAGTGTTTTTGAGACTGAGATTTAGCTAAACTCACCTAATGGTCCTCCAGTGTTCGATTGAAGTTTCGAGGACTAGGCAGGACCTGTAGAAGGTGGAAGGTGAAGGATCTGCAGAGACGAGAGCAGGCATATGTAAGGAGGACAGGTTCCTGTGACAAGGTATCAGTGAGGTTTGCTGGTCGTTCTGTTTCCACGTCACATTGTCATTGGGGAAAGCTGCCAGTGCATTCATGGTGGCCTTGCTGGCACTCCCCTTCATTGTGAAGCCTCAGAATCTCAGCCACAGTGTCCTGTGTGCATAACGCAGATGCGTGCTCTCCAACCCAGTGGAAAGGACGTAAGCGGGAGCTGCACGCTCTGCTCAATTCTATTTTTAACTGCCCATCACTTCATTTCAAAACATT